GTGATCTTGCACACAACATGAACACACATGCAAACAGGAAAGGGGGATGGAACCCCGACGCCTGCGTGAGTTAGCTCTGGCAGACACAGAACTGGCCAATGCAGGATTCAATGCAGTGGGGAACCTTGGGGCCCAGAGGACTCAGCTGCCGCCCTGTCCCCCAGCACACGCACCACACCATCTGTTCTCTCAATGCTCTGCCACTCCCGGAGGGCAATGTCACCAGCTCCTGCCGCGGGGCAGGGTCACCTGGGCTCGGGGACCCACATGGGGAACAGGAAGGCAGCTTTGACGTCATGGGCCACTCTGATCCTATTTGGCATTGCTTGGTTGGAACAGGAGTGTTTCCTCGGGGGTCATCCCCGGCACACCTCGCTGTCCTGACACCTCGTTCTTCCCCCTTGCACACCATCACGCAGCTGTGTGTTAAGCGCATGTGACTGAAGCTCTGTCCTGCTGCTCATCACCAATCCCACCACCCCATGTCTCACTGAAGGGCCCGCTGCACCACATGGCATCACCAGCCAGCATGAGCTCAGGCCATGCATCCTGTCGCTCGCTCCCTGGGCGTCCACCCACCATGGTGGAGAAGGGGGAGAGAGGAAGGAGATGCATGTGGCCCTACAATTAAAGCGACGGTTGTTTATCACAGCAGAGCTCTGCCTGCCAACGCCAGCCGCCATCGCAGCTCCGGCTGCCGGCTCCCCCCGAGTGTTTATTTAAGCCAACACATTGCTCTGCTAATTGGATAACATTCTATGTGAAAATAGGCCTTTTAAAACAACAGTGTCGGTGGCTAAAACAGCTGCAACCACAAAAGTACAAAGGAGCGTGGCTCGGGAGGGAGAATTAAAGGCACCTCGTGTGGGGAACAGTTAATATTCTGGGTTCTGGGGGTCTGTCTGCTCCTCCCCTCCTTCCCCTCCCTTCCTCCAGGGCCAGCCTGGGCTATGTATGTAAGACAAGGAAGGTGGGGCCTGAATGGAAGCCCAGTGCCTATTGGTGGCTGTCTAGCCAATGGGGACCAAATCCACCTGCCTAGGACCCCCCACTGCCAGTCCAGGTGAGAGGGCCACACCACGAGCTGGGGGAGGGGACGCTGGGGGGAGCCCAGCAGTGCAGAAGGCAGCGGCCCTTCAGAGGCTCTGTGTGTCTCTACCCAGAGAGCCCTCTCCAGGGTGAGGCGCTGAAGCTGGGTAGCAGGGATGCATGGGAGGGGCGGGGTTGGAGAAAGGATAGCACTTTGGTAAAACAGTGCCTAACAGGAGGGAGGAGCCTGGCTGTGTAACACTGAGCTGTTCCCCCCCGTCAGACACTCCACCAGTACCCGGGGGGCACTCCAAAGACGGGGCATCAGAAGGGCTTTATCATCCGAGGTACCCAGAGGCCCAGAGAAGGGTGTGGGAGTGGTGACAGGTAGGTAGGATTGTGCCAGGCTGACTCCCTGCCCCATGGCTCCCCTCTTTGGTGCAGGGCTAGGTTCCCTGAGAAACGTGGAGGTTGAGATAATGTGGGTACCTTCAGCAGGACCAGCATTTACTGCCTAGAACACGGGCCTGATCGAATGTCCTAGACAGGGAGAATTCGCCTGCATGTTGAGCTATTTCCTGTGAGCAGGCAAGGCTCAGGCCACCGGTGCCTGTGACTGGGCAGGTAGCCCAGGCCTGCCCCATTTGCCTGAGCAAGTCAGCATCAGCCAGGGGCGGGCCCGGGGCTGTGCAGATGTGCAAGGTCAGGAGAGGGAGCTTCTGTGCTAATCTCTGCCTGATGTGGTGATCTGGGCTGGGGCAGGCGATGGGTCTGTGCTAGACACGTCTCTTGTACGGGTGGTGCCCTCCTCAGGAGCCCCTGCCTATTACCGTTGGGTGCCTGGGTCCTCTGGGTTCCGCCATGCGGCCTTCACGGAGCCTCCTGCTGGGTTTGCTCTCCCACACTGTTGTCTACTTGATTCAGAAGGGGTCTGCTGGGTCCCTGAGAATGTGAGGAACGAGGGACGGCCTGGAGACAGAACCCAACTCCTCATTCCAGGATAGGGAGTGGGCACTGGTGCAGGGCTCGGCGGGCCTCGGTGGACCTCTGTGGGGTGTGGCCAGGGCAAGAGCCTGATACCAGGAGCTGAGATGTGGTGGGGTGGGGGCAAGTGGAGGCTGGTTGCCCACCCCTCCGGGCAGGCGTTAGTCTCTCTGGGCCTTCCGGCCTCACCATCCTCCATTTAGCAATGAATGCGGCAGCCTCCTGCCTCAGCCCTAGTGGCTGTCACTTCTTCCAGCTCTCTTCCCTTCTGGTTTTCCTTCTATGTCTGAGGATGGCCTGAGGAGGCCTCCTAGTGTACAAGGTTGCAGACCCAGTGACAAGCTGCTGTTCTGCATGGAGAGGGGTCTGGTCCAGGTAGGAGAAGGCATTCCACAGGGTCAGAGACCATTGGGAGACCCAGGGGTTTCTAAACGGGCCTGCCTTCTCTAAAATATCCCGTGTGAAATGGAGGCTCAGGGGAACATGTTCTGAGAGGTAGGGGCCTGACAGGCCCCTTCCAGCTCAGGTGGGTTCCACTCTGTCTCCACTGCGGAGTAACCCCCATCCCCAAGCCGTATTCAGTGAATGATTCCATGTTCAGAGCGTGGCCACACTGTGGGCCGGGAGCATGCAGTTATGGCGGGTGAAAAGTACACACAGTGCAGACAGACGGAGGGGATCAGGGAGAGGGACGCAGCTGCCCCGGGAAACAAGAGCAAGGGACTATTGTGGGAGGAGGGCTGCAGGCCGGTGCCACTGTCATCAAGATGACCTTACTGGGGGACAAAAGGGCGCGAGTCCTGGCAGAGGGCAGGGCAGGGGGACGGCGGCAAGGCCGGAGAGGCCCGAAATAGCCCCACTGAGGGGAGGGCACAGACAGTCTCCAGGGCTGTGGGTGGAGCCCTCGCTGTCCTCGGCTGCCCTCTCTCCGCCAGGAGCCAAGAATGGAAAGGGAAGGAGGGGAGAAGCCGCCACCTCACTGCTGAGGGGCTGACTTGGGATTAGGAGGGACATCGATCGGGCCTGGGTGCCGTGTGGGCCACTTGGGTGTAGTGTGCCCTGGGCCCCGGGGACTCGGGACTGTGCTGTAGGACAGAAGTGAGGGGGTGGACATCTACCCCCGGCCTGTCCCTCGAGGCTATGTGCCAGGTCAGCTGTGACGCTGACCTTGGGCAGGGCAGTCACCGTGCAGAAGGAGGGCTTCTGGTTAGGGGGCCGCACTGAACCCCCACTTGTCACAGCCCCCCCCCCCCCACACACAAGGGCAGCACAAGGAGCTGGCAGGGCCAGGCCCTGGTCTCAGAGCATCACCCCAGCAGTCCTGTCAGAGGTGAGAGGTGCAGGGAGGGTGAGTCACTTTTCCAAGGTCGCTCCGAGGGGAAGGCCCGCTGGCTTCACAGATGGTGAGCCAAGCCGGGGGGTGAGAGACCTCTGTCAGGGGTGGAGAGGGAAGCCCGGAGTTCAGGATGCAGTGCACACGCTTTCTGCTGATGTGTGCACGCATACTGCTGCTCTGCTGACCGGACATCACAGGTGTGCACAGACCCGAGGGATGGATGACTCAGGGCCCCCGGGTTATGGCAATGAGAACCAAGTCATTCTGAGCATTTGCCATGGGCCAGCGAGCCAGCCTCATAGGTCCATCTGTCACAACCTGGAGCAGGGGTACCACTGTCAACCCATTTCACGACAAGGAGACCCAGCCACAAGGAAAGGCCAGGGAAGGCCAAACTGCCTTTAGTGACAGGGTTTCTCTGGTTGCCAAGACCTAGAGCTTGCAGTGTGCTGTCCCTCCTGTCACTGATGGAGGAGACAGGGTAGGGCTGCCAGCTGAGGAGAGAGGACCAATGTCTAGGCAGTGAAGCAGGCACTTGGAGTGGGGTCGCGGAGATGCGGGCGGCTGCCATGCCCTGGGGACTGGTACCCTGTGCCCGTGGGATGCCCAGGCTGTCTTGGCAGTGGTTATATCCCACGCCGCCCCTGCTGCTCCATGCCGCTCCCTGTGGCCTCCTGTAACACCACAGTTGGCGCTCAGAGCCACTCTGCTCTTCGGCAGGATGGCCCTTGGGGTGGAGGAGCCCTGGCCATTTGGGAATCGTCCCGGATGCTGCTTTCCATGGAGGAAAGCCGAGGCGATGGAAGGCCACGGCTGCCCGGGCAGCGCTCAGCACAGGGTACAGGACAGCCCAGCTGCCCTGTCTGTACAACCCGGCCTTTTGGAGCTTGAGGCCCTGAGAGTGGTTCCTAGACGTTGGCAGGATGACAGCCTGGCTGCTATCCTGGGCCCGAAGTCAGAGCCTGGGTAGGGAGAGGGGAGAGTGGTGGTGGCAGCGGCGGCGGCAGTCACAGGGGTGTGGCAGGATGGCTCAATGGGTAAAGGTGCTTGCCTGATGACCTGAGTTCAATCCCCAGTACTTATGGGTAGGAGAGACCCAATTCCTGCAAGTTGTCCTCTGAGCTCCACATTTGCACGCGCATGCGCACACTCACGCATACGTACCAAACACATATATAACAAATAAGCAAAACTAAGCACAACCCCCAAGGCTGTGCCGCCCTCTGCACAACTAGGGAAATATCTACACATGTGCATGTGTGCTGCAGGAGCGGCCTGTGGTGTCACAGCTTAGAATGGAACTGGCCACAGCTGGAGGGCTGAGGAGGGATCAGGTCCCATCCCACGCACTGTTTTCTGGACACCCTTTCCATTCCTGCCCAGTCTGTTTTAAACAGTGCTGTCCACCACGCTCAGCCCCAGGGTCTTTCCCCTGCCATAGAGCAGCCTGAGAAATAGGTCAACCTCGGCTCCTGTGTATGCGTGATGGACACACCAACACATACTACCCGGCCCTCCAAACCCCAGACCCAGTGTTCTCCCTCTGAGGATCCTGGGTAAATTAGCAGAGTCAGGGGAAGAGTCGGCAGCGGGAGGCAGAGACACTCTTCCCTGGCTCAGAGGCTCGGTGCTTCTCGGGGGCAGCACTCACCTTTGCGTCCTGCTTGGTGACGAAGTCCACAAAGCCGAAGCCCCTGTGTGCGCCTGTCCCCGTCATCTTCTTCGGCAGGCGCACGGTCTTCAGTTCCCCAAAGGTGCTAGAAGACAAAAGGCCGACATCAGAGACCGAGGCCTGCCAGGGAGGCAGGGGTTCTGGACTGAGACTCAGGAGCCAATCCCTGCAGGTTACCAGAGATGGCTGGCTTCAGGAACTCCCACCGACCAGGCACACTCATGTGGCTTCCCACTTCCCCACCGCCAGCCCTCACTCCGCAGGCGTGGCTTCCTTCTCCCTGCTGGCCACCAAGTGGGGGAGGGAGGGTACCATCAGGCTGGAAAATTTTTGGTGCCTCTCCTGCCACCTGGGGGACACCTGGACACCTGTCCTTTCCCCATGGGATGAGTCTTGCACACATTGTGCCAGGCCAGGGAAGGCCCCAGCCATGGCAAGGGGCTTGTGCTTGAGAGTCAAGGCTCAGGATGCCGGTGGGTTCCCCCGACCTTTCCCAGGTAGCCTCCACACCTGGAGCCAGGTGTATGCCAAGCCTAAGCTCACCGACCCCAAGCCACGGAATCCTTTCTGTCAACCTAGGATTGAGGTCTGGAGATGCCTGAGGGCTCCGCGCTCGGAAGACACACAGCTCCTTCTAGCCCCATGCCCTCCACAAATGTCCCTTCTGATACCTGCTAAAGCCCGTCACGCAGTATTCTGGAGCAGACTGACCAGGGAACTGTGGCCTGGACCACCCTTGGGGTGGCCCCTCTCCTCTCCACCAAACTGACCTTTGAAAGACTCTGGGACAAAAGGAATGGGCTTCCTCGGGGGTCCCCTGGCCGCACGCCCCAACCCCAATCCCTTTGTAATGTCCATTTATCAAATATGAACGAGCGCACTGCCACTGATAAATATTTAATGTGCTCGGCATCTGAAGAGAGGTGTTATTTTTATTTGAAAATCTACACGCTCTGGTGGCTGCTAGGTCCACACATCCACACGCCATAGTCTGGGATGCTCCAGGCCAAGGACCGATTGGGTAAAGAACACGGCGCAGGCCGTAAGCACTCGCCAAATGATATAAGTTAAATCTGAGGCGTTAACCCGCAGCCCTGACAGCATGAGCTGGCATCTGCTGGCCCCATTTCTGAAGGCAGGACGGTGTGTAAATGCAGCATTATGAAGCCTCAAAATGAATCGGCACGTCCAGCTCTCCCCGGCAGCCCCCCCACCCCCACCCCCACGCAGGCCGCTGGGAATGAAGCTGGGGACAAGGCCAGCCTCCCCAGGATGGGAAGGCGGCAGAGGGGAGCCTGGCCAGATTCTTTGCTGAGAGGGAGCTCTCTCAGCTGATTTGGAGGGGGGTCCTGAGTCTGAGCAGGTCAGACAGGAAGCCTGGAGAGCCTAGAGAGGCATGCAGCCGACAAACCCTGCTTTATTCTGCCACCTAAAGGCCTACACATCCCATGACATGGCCTTTGGTCCCTCGACCAGTCCCAGTGCGTCTGCGGGGCTGCCTGGGATAGGGAGAGCCAGGATGCACAGGCTTGCTCCCAGGCTGGTCCACAGAAATGGCTCATCGGTCACCCATCCTCTGGGTCACTGTTGCTGGCAATGACACCTCTGGGGACATTGAGGGCCCAGGGCCCAGGGCTTTACACCCCATGTAAGAAGGCTAGAAAGTGTGGGGCAACTAGGTCAGTTGTCTCTGACAGGCGACAGTGGAGGACACCTGGCTCTCCAGCACACCTGTTAGCCACCCCACCGTCACAATGCCACCACCCACTGTGTCCCAGCCAGTCCCTGCAGGGGGGGTGTGCACGTGGGAGAGGGGGGGGCTGTGTTACTTCAACAGTGGAAGAAACCACACTGATGACGCTTGTGGCTGTGGCTGTGGCTGAAGCCTGGAGCCCTATGCTTGCCCTGCACAGGGTGGGGCTGGAGTCTCTTCCAGAAGGAGCCAACAACGGGAGACGGCCTGGAGAGGTGGGGCGGCCAGGAAGGAGCCATGGGGTTCATCACCTCAAGTCCTGACAGGGGGTCCTGAGTCTGAACAGGTCAGATGAGAAGCCTGACCTGTTTACAAACCAACAGAGTTCAAGAGAAGCAGCCTGGTTCTGGGGGGGACCGAGCAGGGGGTGAGCTCCCTGGCTCTGCCACAGGATAGTTCAAGCCTGTCCTGTCCCCCATAGGTACCAGGCACTTCCATAAGTGGGGCTTCTTTCTTCCCAAAACGTAACCACACACGCGTGCGTGCGTGCGTGCGTGCGTGCGTGTATGTGTGTGTGTGTGTGTGTGTGTGTGTGTGTGTGTGTGTGTGTGTTTTGTGTGGTGGTAGCTGGCCTGCACAGAATCCAGGACCCTAGCGATCCACCCAGGATCATGGGGGGCGGGGGGGGGGAGGGGACGACGACGACCATGTGCACCTCCTTTCTGTCTGTCTGCTCTATGTCAGGGGGATGGGGAAGGGAGGCAGAGGAGGGGGTACTGGTGAGGTTAATTCCTCCCCTCTGCAGCGTGCTGTGAGCCGTGGATGCTTGGTGCATGGTAAGCAGCCGAGGGGCCGGAGGAAGCAAGGAAAATAATTAAAAGGTGGAGAAAGAAGCTGGTGAGGAGGCGGAAGGGGATGAGCTGCTGTGGTCTGAGGACGTGCATCTGAGAGTGTGTGGTGAGGGAGCCATGACAATTCGGAGCCACTGTGGAACTGGGGTGGGGCTGGGGGCTGGCAGCCTTTGAGGGTGTCCAAAATACTGGCTTGGGGTTTCTAGACCGCCAACTGAATGGCCAAGGGAACATGTGCCTGAAGACCCCAGGAGCTTCAGGAAAATGGCTCCCATGGAAAGCGACTTCTAAGAAAAGGGCAAGAGAGCCAGGCCGAAGAGGAGCTGGAGAGTCAGGGTTAGATCTTCCGAAGAACTTCCCAGTATCTGTGGACGTTTCTAGAAATGTCCAGGGGAGGCTTCAGGACACCGTCATTGCTGCCAGCACCCCAGCTACAAAGGAGGGTCTACCAGCCCCCTGCCAGGCCTCTGAGACCTGCCACTCCCGATGGGACAATGCTGGGGTCAATACCATCCCCACCTCTGCTTGACGGACGAGAAAACCAAGGGGCAGAGGGCCAAAGTGACTCGGGTCCGAGGTGAGCCCCTGCCCTCGGTGCTGGGGGAGAGGGCTGGCAAGAGACCGGCTCAGGGTGCCTGTGTGATGTGGGAACGTGGGAGGCCAACACCAAGGACCGCAGAGAGATGGCTGAAGAGAATTAAAGAGAAAAGAGACGCTGGGGGAGGGAAAGAAAAATCAATGAGGTACCTTTCGTTCCAAGGAGATAAGCGACATATAAATGCCAGCCATTATGAAGGTTCTTATCTGCTGGCCAGGTCTGTGAGGCCAGTTTTTAAAAGAGGCCTTTGAAGGGACTTCCACATGAACCCTGTCTCCGGGGCGCCAAGGCCACGGTCAGTGGGGAGAGGCTGGGCAGGGCCACCAGGGGCCAGGGAGGGAGAGAGGGGGACTGCAGCACCCAGGGACTCGTCCCCAGCCCGGCACACTGGGGGACGGAGCTGCGCACGCTCCCCACTGTGTAGATAATAGAAACCACAAAATAGCAATTACTGTATCAGAAGCTGTGAATAAAGAGGCCAGAGCGGGCTTTTAAACACAGCCCTCCTCCCCTCCCCCACACGCTCACACTTCCCTAACAAACTCACACCTCACTTTTCCAATTATTTCATTCACCCCGGGTTCGCCAATTACTCCTGCACTGCGGCCCCACCCCCTCCGCCATGCTGCCACCGCCAGGATTGGTGGCCGGGTCTGTGGGTTTTCGATGACAACTGGAGTCTGTTGTGGGTGGTTCTGACTTCTTCAGGTGTGCGGGGTGGGAGCAGGCACCCATGGGCCAATTATATCTGGTTAGGTGTGCAAGGCATGTTTGCATACACAGGCCGAGCTATGTGCCCTCTCCCTGTGTGTCCCCTCCCCATACAGGCTGCACCCCCTTCCCCGAGACTCAGCTTGCATAATCCTAGCCAAGAAGATGGGCTCGGGGGAAGGAACAGGTAGCGTAGGCGAGGAAAGGACCCTGTGTAGGTGGCGAGCTGAGTGTCAGCCGCTCTAGAGCCTGGCGTGGACGAGGGGGTAGGCTGGGATGTGGGAGGCCCACATGCTGCCACAAAGGAGTGGTTGGGGTGCATCCTGGTCCCAATGGTTCCTGGGGTCCAAATCCTCATGCTTCTTGGAGCTCAGACTCCCCGGCTGAGTGTGGAGTCAGGCGGGAAATTCACTGGTGGTTCTTTCCCTGCCTGCGCTCAAGGCATTGCTGGGCAAGAGTCTGCTGCCACCCAAGGGACCCAGAGAGCAGCACTGAGGTATGAGCAAGAAGTGACAGAGGTAAACGGCAGGCGTCTTCTTGCCATGAAAAAGTCCTTCAAATGCGTCCCCAGCACACACACAGCAAGCGGTGACCAGCACATTCAGCCCTGTGTGCTTTGCAGCGTGCGGGGCAGCCTGGGCTATGGACTCACGTGGCCCCGGAGAGCAAAGCACTGCTATCGTTTCTGCTTTACAGAGGGAGGAGACCCAGGCTGGTCACCTGGGAGGTCTTGGTCCTCCTAGGTGACAAGGAACGGAGCCGGGTTCATGATGGGCATCTGGTCCCTAGACCTGCAGCCTGGCTAACGGTGTCCATGGCCGAACCCAGGGTGAGCATCCCAAGAGCCCACTTTTGCTGGGGTGCACGAAACCCCAGCCTCCAGGAGGGTGTGTCCACCCTACCTTGTCTGATCTCTAACCTTGCAAATAAGCTGAAGGCCACGCGCACTCCATAGCAGATTTGGGGGCCACGTCTGCCACGGACCTCGTGTCTGTGTGCCAGACCCACAGCCTCAGTACTGACCTTCACCTCCCTTGTCATCCAATCAGCTCCTTCCCTGCCCCTTCTCACCGGTTAACAGTGGTTTTCCCACTCAAAAGTCTGCACCAACCCCAGGACCTTTGTACCAGCTGGCCCCGTCCGTCACTTAACCCCCCCCCTGACCCGGATGTCTCCTCCTTCTACCTTACCTCTCTATTATCTTCTCAGCTCAAATTCTGCCCCTGCCCCTA